TCACAAAGAGCTCTACTTTTATTGATACTGCTAAACCTACTCAGACACCTCATTTATATGGAACATATGAGTAGACTGTGGTGATGGGACTTGACTTGACCTAAGATTTCCAACCTCTAATATGTACTGAAACCGATGAAATCGCCCAACGGTTTATATATCGAAAATTTGCATCTGGTCTAAACACAGACACTACCTTTGTATCACTACTAATATGCATGAGCTATAGAATACATGATATGATGGCTGGCTTTGAAAATTTGTCAGCCTGTGATCCTGCTTTAACATGAACCCCTACGACTGACATCCTCGACCCACATCTAGAAAACTCACTGCATCGCAGTCAATTGATTCGAGATGCCCCGATGCATTCAAGCCCTTCAGCTATCAACAATATCAGCAGACCATCAGTAGCTACTTAGTCACCGGCGCAAGTTAGCCCTGTCCAGCGCGTCATGTCATCCAGGCACTAGTCCAGTCGAGACTGAGCCGTCGGTGAGATATCAAGCATGACATTCTTCTGGCTGGAGGAGATGTTGCGGATGTAGGTTACCCAATCGATCGTCGATCATGCATCAGATGTGCAGATCATCCGTTGTAACCCCAAGATCGACAAGACCTCGTCCTCTAAGACATGGTTAATGACGATCCTTCACATCGATGTTTGTAGATCATGTACTTGATATTGCCTGGCGACTATCTACGCTGCAGTCATAGGGAGGCCCAGGGGCTATAATTGTTCAGGTGGCGAGTATATAACTAGCAGCGTGGGGCTTACTGGATGCATGAGATATGCAACGCTTGTTACGATAGGCGTGGCAACCTAATAAACTATACAGTTTATTATTATTCGGAAGCGACAAACTTGGATAAGGATAGATTCAAAATATTAAGATAATAGAGCTCTTCCCATTCAGCTATTGTATCTGTCATTAGTCGAGCAGAAGACAACTTGCCATGTAATCATTGGTGGGCATACGTTGGTTGCAATTGGGATCTTCGAGTCGAGCGGCAGCCGCCATACAACAGCAACACAGGAGATTAGAGACTTAGTCCGTAACTCTCCTGTACAGTGGTTAGTGCCTTCTCAACACTACTTTCTCATTGATAGTGCCTGGAACAGCTTTATCAAAGTCGGGGTCAGAAGTAAGAAAAGATGTAATCAATGACAATGAGGATCGGATCTATCCCAATACAAAGGGGGAATAATCTTTCATTTTCGGCATAATTTTGTACCACAACTGATACACTACTATGGGGAGGACAGGAAAGACTGCTTGGAAATTGAGTTACCGTTTATTTATCTCCGTACTGTCCCACCACAATACCAGCAATAGATATTGTTCCTGAACTACTGCTATGGTATATCTTGTCTTATACAGTTAACAAGGGGGTGGAACTTACCAATCCAGAACGAGAGCATATATGCCTCGAATAATGATAAAGACTACCTTAGTGCTTGAAACTACATCCTCAAAATATCCGAGCAGAACGTGATACTACTACTTAGACAGTCGTTGGTTGCAAGGAACTACGCACGATAAGTTTTATTCCTCGTGTTTCTGTGACAATCTGCAATGTCTCGGGTATCCGGAGGAGACACGGACAGACCGTCGATACTCAATACCTGCCATGAATGGTCGTTGATAAGAAAACTGGGGTGAAGAAAGAATACCCCTGCTTGGTCAGCCGCCGTCACTTGCATTATCTCTGCAAAAGGTAATATCAATTTAATCTAAACTGATAGAGTACACCCCCTTTTCCACTGGAACGTTACGTCGACAATCTGCCGCTGACAATAGCCTAATCTACTTAGTCTCTTGACCATATTCGCCTGGCTCACCCACGATGCTTATAATTCGCCAAGATGCTTGACCAAAGCTTGGTGTACCGCGCCATCCAGACGCCAACTCTGTTAGTCTCCGCCACAGTAGCATCTGACCACCTTTATCTAGCCCCTTTGGATACTAGAGGCGCGCCGCACCGCTAACTCCGCAGTAACTTACTCGTGCACTGTTGACGTTTCCATCTTGTCTATTTAATCAAATCCGAGCATCCCGAGCACCGTCGGAGGTCCGTTTATCTACCGAGAAACCAAAATTGGCAGAACTGTTGAAGATTGCGCGATAGGCTGGCGATGAAGGACCGCACGGCAAGTATCTACCCAGGGGCCTTGAATCAGAATCTTGGTCTCATAGGCGTGCACATACCTCTCTACGTCGTTGCTTGCAGTTCTTGGCAATGCTTGACTCTTATGGCAATGATCGCCAAGTCATGGTGGATATGACCTGGTGGTTCCAATGACCCACTGTTATCAATCCTCTGATGAATCCCGGGAGGGGTACACGTTCTGCACGCAGAGGCCAATCAAGATCCTCAGAGAAGCGATATTCTGAGCTTATTTGGTCCAGATGCATCTAGTCCTTTGGTCTTCGGGCACTCTCGTCCGCCACTCCCATCGCGAGGCAGAAGATCTTCTCTGGATTTGCTGAATTTGCACCTCAACCAACTTGGGGAGGACGGCGAAATGTCAGTGCGGGTGCAATGCTACCGGAGAAAATGCCAAATCCGACCACTAGATGTGAATCAGATGCTATCTCCATCGGTCTCCGGCCAGTACCTCATGATAGAGCGGAGACGCTTGATCCTAATTACTTACTTCGAGAGTATCAAGCGAGAAGGCACCTTTGCAGGAGTCGTTTTACCACTGAGATAAGGAATGCTTGGTCTGGTGCTCAAGTATAAATTGAAGCTGGTTTCCCCGTCCAAAATGTCTAGCAGCTCAAGCAAGACTCGCAGGTTATTGACTACCATCAGCCCTCAAACTCATCCTCGACAGCAATACTCTCATCCTCACCAGTCTTCGTCACCACCATGAAATTCACTTCTGTTCTCACCTCCGGCTTGCTCGCCACGGCTACCATCGCTGCCCCCCTTACAGAACAGCGTCAAGCCCGCCATGCCCGTCGTATGGCCCGCAACTCCAATAGATCGAGCCACCCTCCCTACAAGCCCGGCACTTCCGAGGTTATCAAGCTCAGCAACACCACCCAGGTCGAGTACAGCTCCAACTGGGCTGGTGCCGTCCTCATCGGCTCAGGCTACACTGCCGTGACCGGCGAGTTCGTCGTCCCTACCCCCCACGCCCCGAGCGGTGGCTCTTCCAACGAGCAGTACTGCGCCTCCGCCTGGGTCGGTATCGACGGTGACACCTGCAGCTCTGCCATCCTGCAAACCGGCGTCGACTTCTGCATCCAGGGCGGCTCTGTCTCCTTCGACGCCTGGTACGAGTGGTACCCCGACTACGCGTACGACTTCAGCGGCATCTCCATCTCCGCTGGCGACACGATCAGGGTCACCGTTGATGCGACCAGCAAGACCGCTGGCACGGCGACCGTCGAGAACGTGACCAAGGGCAAGACTGTCACCCACACCTTCACTGGTGGCGTGGACGGCAATCTGTGCGAGTACAATGCCGAGTGGATCGTTGAGGACTTTGAGTCCAACGGGTCTCTAGTGCCGTTTGCTAACTTTGGCACTGTCACCTTCACCGGTGCCCAGGCTACCGATGGCGGTTCCACTGTTGGACCTTCTGGTGCCACTCTTATGGATATCGAGCAGAACGGCCAGGTTTTGACTTCGGTTTCTTCTTCCAGCAGCTCTGTCACTGTTAAGTATGTCTAAGAGCGTTGCGCTGGATGAGGTCAACACTCTGTGATAGTGATGAATGTAGATGTTTTGACGAGGGACGAGTCAGACGGGCAAGAGGGACCGACGGGAAAAGTGTTAGCCTAGGCAAACCTACTTAGTTTCTTCAATATATCATATTATCTCTCCTGCTTCATACACATCTATCAGTAATAACACGAATGGAATCTTCTATCGAAGAGCAGAACAGAACACGACCTTGCTGAAGACTCTCGTTCAATATTTCTGTAGACGATGTTTTCCTCCAACTCAGCCTCGCTGAGATGTTGTGACTTGCAGGCCTCAATATACTACCTCACTTACTCTATCCTATCGAACACGGCCCTGCGCATAGTCAGATGACAGACTAATGCACACTTTTGTTTACTTCCATCTGAGACCAAGGATATTCAGGACTAGTGTATCAAACCTTGGCAATATTCAATGTAGTGCACTTTTGTTCAGGTTGTGAGGCATTGCTCCAGGACAATGCAATTTTATAGTGCATCACATGCCCCCCCCCCATTAATAGGAAATTGTCTACAAGAGGGTTTGACTTCGACAACATTTCCGTCTTGGGACGTATCTTTCATATCTCCAATGCTTTCCTTACTCTCGTCTGGTGGTCTATAATTTATTGTTGGATATGGCGTCTCTGGTCCGTATTCGAGGCCTTGGTCTTCTCAGGATGGAAGTGAATCGGACTCCATTGCTGATGATGACATTTTCGAAACATACGTCGGGGAATCAATGGACTCCGAAGAGGAGACATGGGAAGAGGGCAGACATTATAGAAATCCTGAATACCACGCCTTTGCCGAAGCATTCAGATTGGCTGTCTCCATGGAAAGGGAACATTGTGCACGAGGCAATGCCAAGTTCTACGGAAGAGTCTTCGGGGAGGTTGTGAGACTGGTGAGTTGTGAAGTGACTTTGTAGAGACGGGTTGAGCCTTTTGAGTTGGGGGTGTGTACCTGAGATTCATGTCTCATTCTTATCTCTTCTTGCTTCTCTAAGAACGATCCGTCCGAACGGGTTCATAAATTATTAGTTTCCAACATGCAGGATCAAGATCATGTCTGGTATATATGTGTCAGCTATAGATTAGGATACTTAGCCGTGTACATATCCTCTGCGTTTAATAGAACTTAATCATTAGTAATATTCGCCATGAGATGGAGCCTTTGAACAGAGCTCTGAAGACCCGACCTCCTGCAGTCTTTCGTCGGTGATCTCTGTACATCACACCACATATCATGACTGCATTTCGATCGTAGTTCCATCAGGGTATTCACTTGGCCATTGACGCTTCATTATTCATTTCTATCCATGAGTTCAGCTACATCGCGTGTATGCGGTAGCTCTGAAGGCGGTTCATGACGACTGCGCATATAGGGGCCGCCCTTGTCGTCTGATATTACTGTGGCTGGGGGTACTTGTGTCCGCATTGCTCGTCTTGCTCTTCGTTCAAAGATCGCCAAAGCCAGTGCCATCAGCGCGATGACTCCCAGGGGAACTCCCACTCCAGCTCCAATCGCAGTGTCATGACAAGATCGAGTCGGCGTATCCGTGGAAGAAGGTTCCGTTGTAGCTGACGACGAGGAAACATTGCTCAAGAGAGCCACACCGGTTAACGCGTGCCCAGTTGGAATCTGGAAGCTGTCCATTCCTTCTGGACAGATGACGTCCGTCCCATTTGTGATAGGAGTGCCGCAGCAATATGTCGCTATACCGTTCTCGTAGGTGAGATTAATTATGGAGCAACCTCCGTCCCGATTCATATCCTCTGCGAGATATCTCGATTAGACTTGTCTAGATCATGTATTTAATGAGAGGTGTACCTACTGCAATACTGCGGACATCCATCGCCCCATTCTTTGTCTGTGCAACTCCCTCGACCCGCCACGTAAGGTTGATGGGCAACGTTCAAACAGAGTCCGTTGGACATGCATATATCCCCGGAGGTGCAACATCCAGTTGCTTCATCGGAGGAGCAAGGGACGTCACTCGATGGATTACCACTAGGAAAATAACATTGTCGCGTTGAATTTGCCATGATGGCTGGCCATTAAGGACACTAAGGATTAAAAAAGATCGAGGCTGGATTGACTGAAAGGTGGGGTGTGCGTCTTTATCGTTTCTGGTCTCACCCCTGTTCGCTAGTACAGGAGGCCGAGACTGGCTGGTGAGGCCATAACCCCTGCAGATGTGGTGGCTTATGAGGGCAAACCTCGGCGGTTATTGTTGATTGATCTCTACCACATCCAATCAGGCGCAATCAATGCCCGTTGGGGCTAGGATGTGACTGGCCCTAGGATTGGCAACTATCCCATATATATCAGTGTGGCCCCTTGGTAATATGCCCCCTATGGACAGCGAGTAGTAAGCGCCGCGTAAGAACATGGAATAACTGTTTACAATAGAATAAGACCTTATATTATATTCAATTCAACTATTGAGGCTTCAGCCGTACGTTATCAGAACTTTCTGCCAAAGGATGCGTTCCTCATGGTTGCCGTGACTATAATGGTAGCTTGCTGGAATCCCATCTGCCTTAATTCATCTGCACCGTTATCGCTGTGCTACACTTCCTCTAATGTTTACGTTCTAATACGGATTACCTACTAGCGGTTGATTCTAGACACTAGCATGTTACCTCCACTCAATGGGGCAAGCTTTAACCAGATATCGAAGAGAAATGTTAAGGGAGGCATGAACGTAAAGTTATAGGAGGCCTCAGGCAGGAATGACGACTTCAAAATTTCTTCCTACCATTGTGACTAACTCACCTCTACTCTTCATTGTAAAGATTCAGTTCAGAGTTCCTGGCGCTCTATCAAGTTCTTCAAAGCTCGTATCCGTTTCATAGCCAGCACTGCCTAGAACGAAGTACCCGAAATGACTCAAAGGAATTCGCGGCTAACCTTGCAAACTGTCGCCAACAGACGACGGGACAAGCACCAGTTCACCTTCTGTCGCCTGCAGAAGTGCTTCCCCGATAGCTACTTCCAGCCTGTCGTGACAGCATCATCTCCAGCCAGAATGACGTGACTGATCTGGACATGTGGTTCGTCGGCGGATGGGTTCGAGACAGACTTCTCGGTCGTCAATCCTCTGATATCGACGTAGCACTCAGCTCCATGACTGGCATCCAGTTCGGCCACGCACTCGAGAATTATCTCAAGAGAGAAAAACATAGATGTATCGAGGAGGCAAGGCGCCACGGAGTTCCCCCTGTAATCTCAAAGCTGACCGGGATCAAAAAGGACTCGATGAAATCCAAACACCTAGAGACAGGAAATTTCCATAATATCTTCGGCCTCTCAGTTGATTTGGTGAACCTCAGAAGGAAACCTACAACGGGGAGTGCAGGATCCCGCAGATGGAGTTTGGCACTCCGGAAGAGGATGCTCATCGTCGCGATGCTACAATCAACGCTCTGTTCTACAACCTCGACACAGGAATAGTTGAAGATCACACCGGGCTTGGACTGCATGACCTGGCTGCTGGTGTCATCAGAACGCCATCTTGCCCCTTCGAAGCCGTTGGCGAGGACCCACTCAGAATCCTCCAATTGATCCGTTTCGCAGCTCAGCTTGGGTTCCGAATTGAACGAGAGACCATGAACGCAATGCGAGCTGTCGAGCTGCGGCAGTAACTATGCACAATGGTCAGTCGTCAGCGGGTAGAAGCGGAGCTCATAAAGATCCTCAGAGGCAAAAAAACGTTTTCGGCTTTTCAATTGATGCATGACCTCCATCTTTACAATCCTGTCTTTTTCGTTACGTTGCCATGTATCGAAGATGAGACACCAAGCTGGGTTCTATGGCACTGGGAGTGGTATGGCCCACGGCACGCTGAATGGGCTCGCGCCTTTGAAACCGTGGCTTTGCTGTTGAGCGGGGGACCAGAGACACTCAGGAATATTCTGCTCCAGCCCGAGAAAATGGAGGACATCTGGATGCTGACTGCTTTTGTGCCGATGGATATCGGCCAACTCCATGATCTTGCAGAGCGAGAAGTAAAATTTCCCGAATTTGTTTCTCAGGCAATGAGAAATTATCATCGCATCCTGCATTACATGCGCGAGGGTACTGCCGATGGTTCTTTCACCGAAAATCTACCCCGAGGTACTCTTGGTCTGTTGATTAGGACTTGCGGCAGTACTTGGAGATTACAAGAACTGTTCGCGCTTCTGAAAGATGACGTCGATCAACTGAGGTATGGTAGTGAAAAGATGGCCTGGCTTAAGCAATGGTCGAGGTTTGTGGAATATATCTCTGCGGAGAAGCTGGAGAACGCCCCATACGTAAAGCCTATTCTCGACGAGCACGATATTTTGGCCTTGTACAATCTCGAAAAGGGGGGTCCGTTCATGCAGCAAGCCCTAGACGATCTTTTAGTATGGCAATTCACTCATGAGAACGCTGCGAAGGAAGATGCGATGGAGTGGATGCTTACCCAGAGGGACATGTACAATGTCTAATTACATTATGAGTAGTGATAACCTGTTTGATTGCTTAATCCTGAACTACCAGAATGAAGATATGCTCACATGGCATAATATTCTTCCGTCACCATAGACAGTTGGGCTATCCCATCACCACCCAAAGGCTTCAGCATGCCACCAGACCTCTCGTCCTTCCCGTACATACCTGCCAATATTTTCCCGTAATATCCTCCCCATGCCTGGTGGTCCGCAGAACAGCACAGCTACGCGCTCATCAGCCTCGCCGATGACATCACCCGCAATTTTGTCCAGATCGGGCCGTCCAGTTTCCGCGCATGACCATACAACTGTTCTCTGCGCCTGTAACTCCTCTAGCTCGACACACTCATCCGCAGAAGGCTTTTGCCTGCGCATATGATAGGACTGAGTCAGGTAGAGTTTGACGTTCTCATCTTGCGTCAAGGCCTGCCCATCCGCCAATCCCACCGCCAACGCAGCTTCTTCCAGCGTCTTCATAGACCACACAAATGTAATCCTATCTTGTCCCTTGCCTTCCGCTTCGACTTGCTCCTTCAGTTCACGGTAGACCGGCAAAGCAAAAGTCGCGCCAACTCCACCCGCCACAAGAAGAATTCGATCATACTTCCTTGCCAGCTTTGAGAAACGGGGGATACTCTCAAAAGGTCCGTAGATCTCAAGCAGACTTGGCTTCTCTGCCGAGTCTGCCAGGGCTTCCAAGGCTCTGGACGTAGGACCATCTTGCACCCGCGCAACGAGGGTGATCTCATTGTTCTCCGAGACATTTGCGACAGTAAATGGATTTCGGAGGAACATGTTCTGTATGAGCGAGGACTTTACCTTCATCGCTGTTTCCGCATGCAAGGATAAGTAGACGTGTTGGCCTGGCGCTGCTCGGAATCTTTCTATTTTTGATGCGGGAATAGGGATCTGCACGCTGATGAGGTTCGTTCGCGGGATTCGCGATATGGCCGCATACGCGGTGATGGTATCTAGACGGTTGAGTAGGGACAGAAGAGTGACAGCCAGTGTCTCAATGATGTACCAGCGTAGAGACTTTGCGTGAAAGACAAGAAAGATCAGGACAAGGGATGCAAGAATCGAGTGTGTGATGTAGAATAACCGATAGTTGCGACAACGGACGGCCTCGATGCTGGTGCTCATCATGGCGAAAAGGGACATGAATGATGCAATGCCAAGGATGATCTTGAGAGAAGTGAGATGCTCTTGTAGCGTTGCCGTTTGGATAAAGTAATTCAGGTACAATGTCGCATGGACAACGATCAGAAGGAATATCAGTCTGCCGGATATTCGGTGCCATGGTAGCAGTCTCTCATACGAAGTGTTGAAGAGCAATGCTAAAGGATTGTATCGAGATTTGACTGCAAGGACAAAATGTGTGGGTAGTTGCGCCACAGCTACTATGCCAAAGCGTTTTGTCACATGAAGATAATCTACTAGTGTTAGATTAATTGTAGAAGTATGGGTGAAGTTGACGGAATACAACTCACCTGTCCCTGTCTGATAAATGCACAAAGTTAGCAACCATAGCGCCCATGCTGTCCCAAAAATCCAATGCTGCCTTGCACCCCAGTCGGGAGCGACTTCATCTTCGAGCCACCACAGTATCGACCGCCATCGCCTCACAAAATTCCCAGTACTCAAAGTCCTTGACTCTGCTGGACGAGTAACTGCACTATATCCGTCTCTCCGAGTCGAGCGGAGATAGACCCAATGCCCTAACCGATACAGCCAAAAGGACAAAACCGGTATGAAGACGGACAGCTGAGAGTATAACCCGTATCGATCGAGAAGCTCTCGACGCTGCGACTTTTCCTCTGGACTGAGTTTGACTATGTGATAAGGCCAACCCATGGCTGGGTAGTCTTACGCGTCGCGGCGATGAGGAAAGATGAACTGATCGTCCCTGTGGGGAATCGCCAAGTTATCAATCTGGATCCCTTGCACCAACGGAGAATGGTAAAGCCGGTTGGAATGGCTGGGATGATTGGCTGGACTGTTGTGAGAAATCCAATTTCTGTGTTTTGATTGGTCTGCAGATATGCGACTCTGGATCCACAGAAACGATAAATTATGATCTGATAAGCTCTTCGGAAGTATCATACATGAATGATGAGACAGGGACATGGTATTGATAAGGTGTGTTATAATTCAGTACATCCTTGATGAGCTATTATTGTTTACACCTTGAAATGGCCTGATGTGCAAAGTGCTATCCATCACCTTATATAGACAAAAAGTCCAGTACATACCAGAGCAGCTGACAAGAAATCAGGTTATGATAATAAAGCATGAAAATAGCAGCTCCAGTACCTTAACTAGGCAATAACAAATTGGACATATTAAAAAGGATCATTGGACACTATAAGCGCCACTTGAAAGAATGAAACTCGGTTTAGAGCCTAATTAAAGTGCAATTCACCGCTATATCAAGTCAGATATTCAGCCTATCGTCATCCCGATGACTGGATAGTATCGTACCTGATTACCGCCATTGCCCGGCATCTTCAACTCCCTTTGCAACTCGGTTCGCCCCATCTTCAACGCCCGTCCCGACACTTCCCAACGCATCTCCAACAGGCTTTCCTGCACTTCCGGTTGCACTTGTGATGGTGTCGCCGACTCCTCGAGCAGCTGCACCAGTCACTCCACCAACAGTGCGAGAGACTCCGCCGACAGTATTTCCCAGAGTGGAGGTCACGAATTTCGCGGCGCCAGTGACGCCAGTGTCTTGGGAGGAGGAGAAGTTGTTATTTGGCATGATGATTTGCTTTGTGGTTGATCCAATTTGTAGTCTTGTAGTAGAATTGATAACAATCAGGTTGCAAAGTAATAGACAGAGAAGGTATGTTTGACTGGTAGTTGTTGTGGTGTCTTGAAGTTATATATTGAAACGTACACAAATGACGTCATATCTTACATAGCACAATGGTAACAATGATGGATGTGGCGGTGTGTTCTTTAGCTGTTGGAGTTATATTTGCCTCAATATTAATCTATATCTCTATTCGAGGCACAAGTTATTGACAGATCTAGGTGGATAGTATAGGAATGAAGATTGAGCTGCTGTAAAGAATGCAATGCAAGGTCGTGTTGAAAGTGTCTTAGAGTTTAGACTGTAAATTATGCAGTTTCATACAAGCTTCAAAAAATTAAGAAATACTATCATCCATTCATCATTACTAAGGACTACTGTACTTATGGAGGACCCAAATATACAGTAAATGGAGCAGACCAAGTTCTCCATAGATACCCCGCACACCATGTATCACCAAAATTGCTCAAGACGGCGCATCCTCTATTTTTCCGCCAGTCACATTCTCCATCTTCCGTCCACAAGCATACGACCGACTATATATCATTGCAACCCTGCCATTCACCACCATGTCCTAAAGAATCAACACTATCGTCGACCAAAATGTCTCTCGAATCCCACACCCAGCAGCTCACGCAATCGCTCGCCCAAGCCAACCTCACCCCCGGCTTACTCCCCTTCCTACCCCCAGACTTCAAACCCACCACCCAGCTCCACGTCTCCTTCAACAATAAGCCCGTCTCCTTGGGGAATCTCTTCCGCGCAAGCGAATGCAAAACAGCTCCAAGCGTATCTTTTTCCAAAGAGGTAGGCGTACTCAGCCAATAGCCCTGACTCCAGCCCGCACAATCTAACCGGAATAACAGGAGAACAATCAACCCTCTTCAACAAGCTATACTCTCCTCCTGGTTGACCCCGACGCGCCCACACCCGACGACCCCAAATTCGCCTTCTGGAGACACTGGGTCGTCTCGGGATTGAAGGCCGAGGAGGGCGACAGCGGGACCGCAGTGACGGAATATCTGGGGCCTGGGCCGAAAGACGAGTGAGTATCTGTATTGTTATTGATTAGGATGAAACGGATAAAGCTAATGGTGCAGTTCGCGCCCACACCGGTATCTATTTCTGCTGTTTAGAGAGCCGGAGGGGTTCGCGCTGACGAAGGAGGATGTTGGCGGGGAGGAATTTACGGCAAGGCGGTCGTTTAAGGTTGCGGAGTGGGTTGAGAGGCATGGGTTGGAGTTGGTCGGGGTGAATTGGATGTTGGGGGCTGGTGATGGGTGGACAGAGTGAGCTCGATTGCTTGTTTGCGTGGGATAGTTGAATATGGTTGTCATATGCATAGACATGAGGCGATATGCAAAGTGGTAGACTACATGGTAGATTCATATATTAGAATACAATTTTATGTCACTTTCTAGGTATCACTCGACTAAAGTCACTATTATCATTAAATGAAGCATAAATGCCGTTGAGTGGTATTGTCAATCTCGTCACCTTCCCCCAATCTAACTTCCTTTCTGAACGCTTTAGTAGGTCAATCCCCAGCGAGGGGCATTGATGATGATGCCCATGAGGCATCCGGAAATAATTCCAGAGACAGGGAGGGTAATAATCCAGCCAAAGTAGATCCATGCGATCATGCGCCAGTTGATGGTTCTCCAGGTGCCATTGCACAGACCCACACCGACTGTGGCACCAGAGATACACTGAGTGGTGGAGACGGGGAGCTCTGCGGACTGTTAGCACAATTATGATCAGTGAAGGGTAAAGGATATGGCATACTCAGTCTGGTGGCCATGATGACGGTAATGGCAGACCCCAGCTCCATGGAGAAACCGCGGGATGGAGAGTGCAGAGTGATTCGGTTACCCAGGTTGCGCATGATGTTGTAGCCGTAGGTCCACAGACCGATCACGATGGCGGCACCTCCGAAAGCCCTAAGATTGATTAGAATGTTTCTATGAATGCGCAGGTGGATACTCACAGGATCCAGTATGGAACAGGACTCTTAGACTTGAGTTCGTTGGTCGACCAGACATAGTAAATGGTGGCATAAGGACCAACGGCGCTGGATAGATCTGTCAGCAAGCTTCAACACGCGAAGTCGCGAGGGTACATACTTGGAGACATCGTTGGCACCGTGTGTGAAAGACGCAGTAGAAGCAGTCATGACCTGGAGGAAGGAGTACATGTATTCGGCCTTGTTGTCGTAATGGCGCGCATGGGCGTGGACCATCTCCAAGTCACCAGTGAGAATGTCTCGCTTCTTCTGCAGACTGACAACATCCTGCTCGATACCGCGGAAGAAGAAGCGACGGAACTGCCAGAAGAGGACGGCGGGGCTGAAGGCGGCACCTTCAGGACGAGGCCCGATGAACGTAAACTTGGGCTCTTCGACCTCGGCAGAAGCAGCAACAACCTGGCCTTCCTTGCCTTCCTCGCTCACAGCAGGCTCGCTCTCCTCGTCGGAAGGCCCGGCTCTCTCAATGTTAGCACGTTCGCGCTCCAGCTCCTCTAGGGTCTTGTGGCCCTTGTAGTAGTCCTGCACGGTCTTGTAGCCCTCAGGGGCAGGGGGCACCTCGCCGCGACGCAGCACAAGAGGACCCATGAAGAGGTGGTACCACTTCAGCTGCCAATCCTCCTTGATCAACCTCCTGTAGAGCCAAGGGAGGAAGAAGACGGCAACAAGCAGCGCGACGGCAGCACCAACGCCGATGATCACACCGGTGGTTTCCGAATCAGTGAGGCTGATTCTGCTGGAACCACCCTTCCACACGATAAGCACTGTGCCAGTCAGTATCGTCAAGCATCATGCCAGGGCCGGGGGTCATACTGGTGAGCAAAGCAGAGGTGATGCCAAAGTAAATGGGGATGGAGATGAAAGCCTTCATAACCGAGTTCTTACGCTCCATGACTCCGTACTTGGTGAAGAGGAAGATGATGGCACCAAAGGCACCGGACAGAAGAGGCGCAATGATCCAGGCAAGGAAGACCTGGACGACACCCGAGTTGATGTCTCCTCCCCACCACTTGATGCCATCGGATCCCAGAGCAGCAATGCCCATACCGATCACACCGCCCATGATGGAGTGAGTGGTCGAGACCGGCATACCGAAACGGGTTGCGACGGTGAGGTAGATGGAGGAAGCCGTGACAGCGCAGACCATACCCAGCATCAGCAGGGCAGGATTCTCCTCGAAGGCCTTGACGTCGACGATCTTTGTTCGGATGGTATCTGCAACACGAGCACCTACACCAATACTGTTGCAGAATGGTTAGTATCCTCCAAATGAATATGTTATACCTGTACCGGAGCAAACACACCTTCCACTGAATTCCATGATAGTGGCCAGAACCATGGCCTGCCAGTACTGCAACGAGCGAGACGACACCGAGGTCGCCCATGAGTTGGCGACATCGTTAGCACCGATGTTGTATGCATCGAGGAAGGCAAAGATAGTGCCAAGGGCGAAGAGGTAATCGAACTGATGGAGGGCCATCTTGTCGATGCAAGGGTGGATATCCTATATCTTGTCCTTACAACTTGCAGGTAAGATCATCCTATGCTAGTATTGGAGCGTGCATGGTGCTTATATAGTAAGCACCCAACAGCCCTCGGCATCAGCAGGGGCCTTTCCAGAAAACAACAAAACGCGCGAGAGGCGTGCGAACCAGATCCAAGGCAGTCCAGGTCCCTTCGCTAGTTTTTCGAATTGGCCTGCAGCTCGCATGAATCTGCCTCGTTATCTCGTGAGGCATGACACCGCAGTCAGTCGACAGGCTCTCCGGCTGTCTCTCTGCTTCTTGTTGACTCTTGGCGGCCGTCTGCCAAGACCTCCTCTAGCCCTCAGTCAGAAAGCTTGTATGGCCAATCACAGATCCACCTGGTGGAACGTGGTCTGCGATCCAGCTTCCTCTGACTTCGGTCCAATATATTCTAATAGTCTTGGCTGCTTGGCACTTCCGGTGCTGGATGTCCATGGCGATACTGCCGGTCGACAGACCACTTGGGGATGCAGCAGCCCACTCGTATCTTACGTGGGTTGACTGGCCACATGGCGCAGTGATACGACCATATGCAATCTGATTTTTTCTACAATGTCTTGGAAGTTGGACCTGGGAGGTTTACCAGCGCCACAAACCATTCAATTCATGAACTTCGTTAAATGAGACTATTCAGTCAGATTCCAAGCATTCAACCCCCTCATGAGACCGAGGCACCTCTTTCACTGAGCTCCTCAGCGTCTTCACCTCCTTCTCAAGACTCTGAATATATTCCACTGCCGTTTCAATCAACTCAACCTGCAGTAGATTCGACACAGTCAGCATTCACCACTCACCCCATGATCCCCAGCTTCAGTAGACAGCAACCCCTGCAGGAGTTCAAAGCACACGCACCTTCGTCCCAGACGACCCCCTGGGGCCAGAACCAACGCCACCAGCGTGTAGCACCCGAGCCATCTGCTCTAGCGCCGCCTTTAGCCGATCTCGTTGGTTCTTCTGCGAGATAGCATGTCGTTTGCGTCTGGAATCAACCTGGCCTGATGCACCCTCGGGGAACGTGATCAACACTCCCTCTGTATTCCGTAGAGTATGGGTCAGTCTATCCTCGAGGAGCTGCCAAGACGAAGGAGTCGGATTTGTCTGATCCTTTTGACTCGGAGTACTAACCTCGCTTTGGCCGGAGTTCGATGAACCGAGGTGGAGGCCTTGCGGCAGTGCTCGAATAAGTGGATGGAGGGCTCGGCGACATGGTGTGCTAGTGGTCGAATGGCTGGATTCTGTGGTGTCTCGTGCTGTTTCCTCCCTGGTGTCCAAGTTGGTATATATATTTGGTCAGAGGTTTGCTAGAGGAGTAATAACTCCGCTTGATAAGGACTGTCATATTGAGTAATACCGTAGATGTAGTCTTGGCCTGGTAAGACATGCCTCCCTGTGTCGGTTCTTTCTGGTAAGGAGGAGGTTATTGTCGTCATTAGCCTCAGTCCATCGAGTGCTGGGTATTGCCGATGTAGGGACTTGGACAGGACATTAGCCTCTGCATTGAGACTTCTAACACTATCTGCCTTAAAATTGTGATCTTCCCATCAATCTACCTGGTCCAATGCCGTATAAAGGCTATAAGGACATAGATGAGTTTCTCTGAGTCCAAGAACTGTAGCCACCAGGCTCTCCCAACAGTCATGTATTCTTCATTCTCACCGACTGTATGGGAATCTATGCTTATTCTAATGTTGTACTTGCGCTGGTGGAAGGATCCGGTTCAGGTTGAGTACAGTCAGGCAAGCACACGTTTGGACACTCCAGGAGTTGTCATCTGCTACTATTTACGATGTACAGTCCGCCCAGATGAAATCTGCCATATCGGTCTAGTCTATTTACGACAATCAATGACCATATATCGTAAGCAACATCAACACACAACGAGGAATGCCGCTACGCCTGAACCAACCGCTCCAGCTTCCGTAGAAGACCCTCCGGTTCAGCAACCCCCTCCGCCGCGATCTGGTCCGCACGCTCCTGTGTATCCGCCACAGCATAGATTCGAAGTTCATCCGCATTTCCCGAAGGACGGAAATGAGCGACATCCCCGTTCTGGAAAATGACGCGAACCCCATCCGTGTAATCTATCCGGGAGATTGACGAAAACCCATGCCGGGCAGAAAAGATCCCTTCCAGCTCTTGACGGATCCGACGAGACTGCTCTTCTGTATTCTGCGCTCCGCCCTCACGCACTGAGAAGCGGTCGATGATTTTCATGCTCGTTGCCCGAGCGAAATTCCGGATCAACGCAGCACGGCTGAAGCGTTTAGGCAGGGTAGTAAAAAGCGCAGGCAGGGCCATTTTCCGGCTTTGCGCTGCAAACAGCGCACAGAGGAGAGGGAGGACGGCATCGCGCGTCGGGAGCGCAGGAAGCATCTTGCCGTCGCGCTCGATGTCCGAGCCCGTCAGAAAGCCGCCGTTCGCTTCCCATCCGCAGACGCGCTGGCGCCCCTTCGCTACGGCGCTCTGCATCCCGGCGATCACGTACGGACTGCCGATCTTTGTTTTCGGCTCGAGAGCGCCGGACAGAGGGCCGCGGTCGATAGCGTCGTTGGTGCTGATTGGGACCACGACGGAGTCGGCTTGGAGGAACTCCGCGACGATCATGCCTAGCAGGTCGCCGCCGAAGAAGCGGAGTTTGTCTCCCTCCGGGGCGAGGAGGAGCGGACGATCGCTGTCTCCGTCTGTCGAGACGACCGCGTTGAATGACTGGCCTGTGCTATCGTACAGATTCTGGACGGTGTTGAGTTGCGCCTCGTCGATGGCTTCGGTATCTATTGGTACAAAGGTCTCGCTGCGACCGGCGGGAGTGGCTTCCGCACCAAGCTTCTCTAGAATCTCAACCACAACGTCGCGACCGACGGCAGAATGCTGGTACACGAGGATCTTCATGCCCTTGAGCGATTCGCCTCGGAAGAAATCAAGGTAGCGCTGGATATACGCAGCTCTACCCTCGGGCGCAACAGGAGGAAGATCTGACGGGGACTCCCGAAGCATGCCTTGTTCATTGAATAGAGAATCAGCAAAGGGCTGAGAGAGAAGCTCCTCGCGCACAACCTCGACCACTTTGTTGATGGGTTGTTCGTCTTTCTTCAGGAGCTCTCCCTTGGAGGTATTGAGCTTGTAGCCATTGCGATCAAACGGGATGTGGCTCCCCGTTACCATGATACTTCCCTTGCCCTTTTGAAGAGCAAAAAAGGTGAGTGCCGGCGTAGGAATAGCCCCAAGATTGATAGGGTGCATGCCTCCATCTTTCAAGGCTTGCACGACCGCTTGACACAGACCACCGCGGTTGTCCTCTACATAGCCAGTGGAGCTGGGTCGGAGGTCGTGTGCGAAATAGAAGTCGTCGCCTTTGCGAATGCCTCCTTGTGAGAGCTGCAATGACTGCAAATAGCGAATCTCTGCCAGGACATTTGTGTAGATCTCGAGCTGCGTCAAGTCAACCACTTTGCCCCTCCGACCACTAGTGCCAAATTTGAGGGGCTGCGGTTTATATGCCAGGTGGAAGCGCAGGGCGTCGGATGGGGAAGTAAACGACATCCTAGATAGAGATGGCGCTTGAGTTTACTGTTATAGGGATCTGGTGGATAATCTATGGCGACTTTGATCAAATTGAATTGATAAACAAAGGGGTATAATGGTCGGTGAGGAGAACATAAGAACAGCTCATGCCAAGCTGTCAACTCAGCTTAGTGTTATGCCTGAGGCAGCAATAAACATGGTGTGTTGCCCTAGGCATCACTACACTCCCATAGTACCAACGCGAGATACTGGTCACGATTGATCTGACCTCTGCAGATGTATATCATCGGTTATGGCCCGAATGAGCCGTAATCGAGATGGACGCTTAAATAGTCAGGACGAGATAAGTCGAGGTCCAAAAAATGACGACGGGAATCTATTCAGCTGTAATAATCGCTGCTATGCTAAATAACTAAACACCCAGGAATCATGCGAACAAGAGTATCAAACAATAATATGTACAGCGGTAAGGTATGAAAAACAGGAGTTCAGACCACACCGTCTAGGAGGAGTCGGATTGCTCTGGCGATGCCGGCGCCACCCTGTTTTTTACAGTAGAGAAATGAAAAGATGCATCAGTCATTCAAACACTCCCTCAGAGCTTCTGGCCCTTGTTGAAGCGCTCGAAGGACGAAACAGGGGGCGCAGAGTTGGGATTGGGGTGGTGCTTCTTCTGAGCCATCTTGACGTTGTACTCGAGGTCGAGCTCGGCCTTGGGGTCGTCGGTCTTGGGTTTGAAATCAACGACAAGGTCATCCTTGACGGCGAAGACCGAGTCGATGTCGAGATGCGGGTCGTCGCTGGGGTAGATCTGGTTGATGATGGTGGCGTAGTCGGGGTGGGTGATCATGAGGTGAATGTGGGCGGGCCGCATGGGAGAGCGATCCATGAGATTGAGAAGCACACCGGCCGGACCGTCGGTGGGCAGAGAGTAAGGGGTAGGGTGGTAGCAGTACCAGTAGAACTCGCCCTTCTCGTTCGATCTGAACTTGCCGCGGAGGTTGTTCTCACTCTGGTTGGGGTCTTGGAAGTCGTACTGGCCGTTGGCGGAGGCCTGCCAGATGTCAAGCACCGCGCCGACGATGGGCTTGCCGGTCTCCATGTCTGTCAAGACACCGTGCATGAAGGTGACCTTGCCGTTGGGGTTGGGGTCCTGGATGATGCTGTCGCCGAGATTGCGGAAGGGAGCGTTGGGCGACCAGAAGGGGCCGAGAATGACGTTGGACGTGGGAGTCAGGCCCTCGTCAGTGACGATCTTGTTGGCGATCTCATCGACAAGACTGATTTAGTTGTTAGCATTGATTAATGGAATTTTGTTTTTTTGCATCGCTGGCTTACGATTCAAGGCCGATAACATCGCAAATGCGGTGGCACTCGTTGCGCACAGGAGTGCTGATCTTGCCGATAGAGTTGATGAACTCGACGCCGAGCATCCACTCGGCGGGAGTAAGCTCGACCTCACGAGCAAAGTCGTGGATGTGCTTGATCAGAGATCCCAAGACGACGCGAGCGCGCTCGGGGGTCCTGGGTCCCATAGAGTTGATCACATAGGGAGTGAAGTTGGGGTCGAATTGGCGCTTGGGCGACATTGTGTATTTGTGTGTATGAGATTGGTCGAAATGACACGACTGGAGGATTTGCGAGGGAGATTAAATTGTCTATGGAGGATGATTGACGAAGAAATTCGAGAGAAACATCACTGCTCTTATAAACATTTCAATATGTGTGGTGAATCTGGATACTGAGGTGGTCAGATGGCGACGGCAAATACGGTCGGCTCCTAGCCCATGGGTTTATGAGGGGCCCCGCCTTGCGTCGGGGTCAGATAAATAGCAGGCACGGTTGCTACATGCCGAGAGGTTCGCGAACAAATTTCGATTGCATGACTCCACGATTCCGGCAACTGTCAAATCTAAGAACCGACCGGCGGCTGCCCGGAGATCTTAAGAATTGATCATCCGGGTCAACTGGGACGTTTGGCAGATATGTATTTCCGTTTCCTCCACTGGCCTGAGAAGGCAGGCAGACACACGGCTCCCCGCGCTGGCGATCGGTTATGGAAGGGCAACCGGCGCGGGGTGATTCGATGGCTGCAAACCTGCTTACTAACATCAACCCAGCTGGGAACGGGATCGGATATTCAAAGTAGCCGCGCTATGCTGCCGGAGTAGATCTTACCCGCTGGCAAAGAAATCAAGAGGCAGATTTCCACGTGACTCAGTCTTGACATTTATCCTTCTAATTCCTACTTTGCCATTGGTTCATCGCAGTTATTCTTCTGTTTTCCCAAAGGCCATTAACAATAATGCCTCTTTGCACTTATCCTTTCGATTCTGCAGTATACTAGAAAGTTGCGTTGATGTGGGGATAGATAATAGCATACTGACGGAGTATCTTTGGTCAGCAGCAAACTGGCATGTGGAAAAGCCTACATCCAAGTCTCTTTCTCTCATCGTGCTCAACCATAGTGCTCTTATCGACACTAAATTCAATGTTAGGGTCTGCTCCTGAATCTTCTCATCCAAACTCAAATTAATGCCAAGGCCATGCTTCAGTTTCGCCACCACAGAGCTATAAGCTTCGACACCATATCAACTTCCTGCCCATATCTAAGTCGAGAGGCGCATTCAATACTACTTGGTTCATGATCTCTTACACAATCTCTTTTCCTATAAGCAGGTGTGCTGATGTGATAAATAAGGTATGATAGACTCACAGAAGATTCATGCGACATGGCCACCATCATGGTCAGACAGGGTACATATTGTCGCCCTAAATACTAACCACGCTGATTTTATCAACTGGTGGACTAGATCTTTAAAGTGTCATGGTTGATCATAATTCACTCTGCCTACTTCATCTTTATTATCTGAAAGAATGACTATCATGGATTTTACGGACTTTCCATACTCATTTAGATGTGGACGTAGACACGCTCCACTATCTTTCGATGAGCAGCAGGTAAGCCAGCATCCCCCCTTCATTGTCTCTCATCTTCCCTACACTACAAATTCCCTATCCTGGCGGATGATTATATTGGTATTCGAAGCCATTCGATGGTCTTACCTGGCTATTCGGAACTCTGGGATGCTTTGGGGAAGATCAACGGATTCTAAACGGCTAATGTACCTTGGGGAGCACGCGAAGATGATCAGTTATATGTCTTTTTGTGCCTACAAACAAATACGTTATTGTCTTGGCTGCCTCCATTACCAAAGGAGGCTACTGCGAACTGCAACATGCCATCATCCGTAAACCACCTCGTACGAGGTATGCTCTCATCCAGAAATCAATGACCTGATGCAAATGCTTCTGTAGTGAATAGCTCAATTCCGTATTTCGCTTCTAGTCTCCATGAACTCTTTGCTAATGTACTAGTGTGTATCTGTGATAATTTCCTGATTGTTTATTTTGAATAAGGTCTAGGAGCGAGCTGCAAGATCTGTCATTAGAGATAAGTCCATCAAGAATAGGAACGCGGGCAAAGTAGGGATAAGATTGATCTTCTATCGACCGTTCCGCCAGCATATGTTCGCTCTTGTGCAAACAGTCCGCCATATATTCTCTATAGATGACTCTTAGGGCCTAGGTTGACCAGCCGCCAGTATCCAAGCAGCGCCGGCTGCGATAGACAAATGACACATAGGTTCAATCGAGCCACATCATTAATTAACATTATGGGTAGTACCTCTGTTCTTCACGAGGGAAAAGCAACCGGGAATTTTTGGGCCCAGTTTAACTTTAATTAATACTACAATTAAATAACATTACCATACCTAATGAGAAGTGAGAAACAACTGGAATGGTCTGTGCTTCAGCTGCCTGCGGTAATAATATGACTAGATAATAAAATCACCTTGCCCCATACTTCTAATAAGCTTACTGCGCTTTACCTAGGCCTAGGCTGCCCACAAATGATGTGGGGCCAGATCCTGAATTAGGAAACTTGGGCCCTATATATTCATACACATAGAGATCAGGGAAGACCGGCTGAATCTAATCAAACTGTTACTGATTGCACCTACATGTGCATTTATGTTAGATATAAATAGTCTTATGCGATGACGGTTATCTTGAATCATACTCCCCAGTACCCTGCTGCAAACGGATAAGAACCTCTTACTAAAGTCAATCCAAGATGCAGATATTACGGAACCATGGAACACCAACCCCATGATATCAGTGACTACGCTAAATTTGCAAACACAATGGAATTCAACTTGAGTGGGAGGCAATATGAGAGCATGAGTATGCAGTTACTTCTAATTCCAGAACAGTAGGGACTGCATGACAAAGAGATGATTTCGACCTAGGCTGCCTAGACCAATCTACTGGACCTACAGATGAACATCCATAGAAGACATTGCGCTGCGCCCTCTTGATCTCCTGATGCGCAATGGATGAAGACGGCGAAGGATCAATAGTTATGACCACGCATTACCTCACAGGAAATATTTCCTGCAACCTAGAGCGCTATAAAAGAGAAGGAGGTTTCGTCTTATCCTTCAGAACAAGCCCTAGTTTCTGCTTGGGGAAAAATTGACAGACAGATCCAAATCAAAATGAAGCTCTCTATCAACATTGCACTTGCGCTTGCCTTTCTTACCTCCTCTTTCTCAGCTACCGCCTCTGCTGAGACTCCCCTTGTGACTGTTCAACTTACCAATGACCAGTCCGGTGCCAACGCTAACGTGGCTGTTCGAGCAGATGGTGTCAAACATACCATCGCATCACTCTGGGGCAAAACAGCAGTTGCACGCAATGGTGTTGTTTACGCATCAAGCACCCAGCTCACAGCATTCCAGCAGAATACTGCCTGCAGAATTTTCCGACCAGGCATAGATGTGACACTAAATGCACGGCATACTTGGTCGTGGTTGGATGGCGGTAGGGTGGTAAATTTGGACGGAGCTTCCTTGGTCTGCAAAGATGCATGATTATATTCTAGTTGGATGTGTCTCTTTACGGACTAATGGGTGAAACTTTGGATCATATTCAGTTGCCCATTTTTCATGTTGGTGACTGTGACAAAAAGCAAGATTTAGGTGATGTAATTTAAACTACTATGTCGCACTCCTTTCTAAATGTTATTGATGATAGCAATCTGGGAAGCTCTTGATTTATATTCAATCACAGATAATGATAAGGAACGCTATCTTGGCATATCAAACAGATATAAAAACACATCAGATACTTAACAAATTCCAAATGGATCGAACCTCAGACCAGCTGAAGAAATACTCAGAACCAGATACACCAGAGCTTTTGTATTGTGCTTTCAGAGACCGATGCTATAGCCGCCACAATAAATAACTATGCCTCTGTGATCCCTAACAGCCACTGACTACTTATCATTATGGTACTGAAACTTGGTGCGAGACTCATTCTACAAGGTGCAGTTACTGTAGCGCTAAAGAAGGCTTATACAGGTTAGCTGTATAATGGGCGCTGCAAATTGACAAATCAAATTCAATTCCATCAAATAAATGACAACATAGGAATGTTCTGGAGTAACACAAGCATGACTGGACTGAACGCCTCCATTAACATTGTGCTTGCACAGCCCATTTGAGAACTCTTAGGTCTTTGAAGACAGCACAGTCTGGGCTGGGCCGAACTCGTACCATTCTCTTTCAGAAAGATAGGTCAATAGTGTCTGTTTCGTGGACAGTCACCCTTCAAATGGCCGTCTTCTTTACCTACATGGGCTCATGGTTAGCTTCCTTCACAAGTTCCACAATCAACTTACAATAGAAGCAGAAAACATCATTGCGGCATTGGGACACTCTATGGCCACTCTCTTAACCTGGAGAATACAATGTCAGCGCCAGACGCAAATGTTTTATGCTTCTAGTTACGAACATTTACCGCAAGGTTCGCCACATTCCCTTTCCCAATGTCCAGGCCACCCGCAATTGCGGCACCTGCCTTCCGCTTGCCGGCGATATATACCCTTCTCGAACGCTTCAGAAACCTGACGAGACTTAAGCCTGTATGCCCTCGTCTTTCGGATTTGATACGCCTTCCCAGGTTTATTGACTCGGTATCGGTTGAACTGCGATAAGGGCAATGTCTTCTTCAAATCCTGAAACTGTTTTGAAATGGTACTGCTGATCATTTCGGTCATTTTCGACATGTCAATGTTATGGTCTTCCCTTCTCACGCCGCGTGACCGATGCCTGGGGGTTCATCATTTAGCCGAATTTCCTCGATGTCACTAACGGAAAAGAACAAGAAGGAAAGAGGGCAATGAGGAATAAAAGTAGAGAACTCACATTAACTGCAGAGTGTTTTCAAACCGAACAATAATATTGTTAAGGGAGTCAAATTCAGACTGTAATTTACGCAATTTCCGGCTATTCATCCAGGCACTTGAAAGTGCAAGAAAAGAATTACCCTGACGATTCTTGTGACGCTGAAATGTCTCTTTGATTTGCCTCATCTCATCGTATAGGTTCGTACATTTTTCCTCAAGTAAAGTGTAAAGGTTTTTGTTCAATTCAGGGATATCTTCATGAAATGACGCTCCTTTAAGCCCATCCAATAGCTTTTTCAAACCAGAGACCAGCTTCTCCATATCGCTCTCATTCTGTAGCAACTGCTTCATCTCGCTGATACTCCTTTTCTCTTTTCTTAGAAGACCCAAAACTGGGGGCAGTATGCCAACTATTCCAAAAAAAAAAGTACTCCATGATATGAATCGTACCGAAGAACACTAAAATCTCGCCAGATGGATCAAAGTTTCTCTTCAGAACCGATGCAATAGAGAGGTCGGCTTATATCAGGTGTCTAGCAAGGAGGAAAATTAAACGACAGGAAAGAGGCGGGTGAACTGGAGACTACGAGTCTCTTATAGCGACTCTGCGACTCATTCAGACTGTCACAGCCCCCTTTCCATCGCATGGTTATGCCAATTTGAGTAATAAAGTAAGAGACCGATGTGTCTCCAATACAAGGAGGAACAAATCAGCTCATGACACAATTGAATCAGCTTATGCAATAGTCCGAAAGGGGAAGGAAGATGGCTGTGCAGGACCGAACCCGTAAAACATGGTGGTAACCAGCATATTGTGCTGTCTGGGCGGCTAATGAAACCTGGCCAGTGGTTTTCGGTTACGATATACTCATCAGGTGCCAGAATATGGCTTCGATAAGGGGACACCCTGATCTGTCCAGTCACAGCCGGCATCACAGTGGCCGGCGGCAGTTGAAACCGCCTATAAAACCCATGCCTGGAGAGCAGATATCCAGATCAACCTATTATTGGGCATCCATCTTGGCATAGATGCATCCTCCAGCGTAGCCAGCTAACATAATTGGTGAAAGAAAGTAGAGGGGAGCTTCCACATCTCCTTAAACGGATACTTCTACCCTTTCATCTCCTGGAGATCGTTATCGAAGTTCTTAGAGCAGTGTTACACGTACCAGAGTTAGAATACCACTTTCCCAAAGGTTCGTAAAAAAAGCATGCGACAAGTTGATTCATATTCGTATCTGCTAATGCCTATACAGTAATAGTTCATGGTCTATTTTGCTGAGAGTACGGTCATTCCTATCCTAAGCAACCCCGCACTGAGTTGGCTTCTCGAGCATTCGTATAAATACAACAAGTAGTCTGATGTCCGCTTGTTTGCTTGGGGAACCATCGCTACTGTGTCCAAACTCTTCCAGGTAAGCCTAAGACGTATGAAGGCAAACACTAATCGAAAATAGTCCCCAAAACACTGCAACATGGCTTCAGGGGTTGTTACTCAGATAACCCAATACCATCACTACATCCCCCGCTTCATTCTGACGCGATTTGAGCATAAGAGAGCCAAAGCAAGAAGTACGAATGATCAGACCATGACGCAGGTTACCACCTAAGAGGGATATAGCTTCACAAATCATGGAATCGTACATGTTTTCGACCTGATCAGTGAGCAATTTTGACTCAAAGAAGTTTCAAAGACCTGCGGCACGCAAAATCTATACCACAACGCGAAGGATACCAATGAGAATAGAGCATCTGTTCAGGAAGCTAGAGTCGAAGACCAGCGTGATATTCAACAAGATTACAGATGCTGTCAGCAACGGTGTTGGTCATATCGATATCCTTGAGAAGGACTTTCATATTCTCTTCCAGTTCATGAATCTGTCCTTTAGGCGGTCGGAGTAGTACAGAGACGAAGTCAAGAACCCCTACCGTGAGAACGACTTTTTCTTCTAGCGACAGTTTGAAGCGTCCAGAAAGAGTGGCCGGTCCGGCGAACCAGAGCAATTCTGGCTCGAGCTGTTGCTGTATCTCTTGGAAACAAGCCACGAGAATATCCTAGAAGATGCTAAAAATCCGGATGAAAACGCTGCCGCGTACACATATAAACACTCTGTCGAGAATTACACCCTTCAGATCTGGAAAGCGGCAAATGGCTACGAATTCTTTCTTAACGACAGGCTGGTGGATTTTGAGGGTGATACGCAATCATACCTCGGTGCAGAGATGAAAGGAGAAAGGTGTCAGCTCATATGGACGACTAGTGAAGACTTTATACATCCTATCCTCCCCGTTGGTCCAGAAGTTGCGATTATATTCTGCAACGAGTCCCGATGCTGGAAGTCACCGTTCGCCGAGGTTATGCACGAGGCCAGAGTGCCTTACCTGGAGAATTCTTTGCTGAAAAATGCACCGCACAAGGACATCGTCAGTGTCGATATACCAAGCAGGAAGAGAGGGAGGAAGAAATGGCCCGTAACAGTTGTCTGGACGGTAAACATTGGAGCTATGACTCGAGAACAGCATCGAATCATCGCTTCCTACTCATTCAGTCATGCTCAGTTACTGATTGTAGTCCGAAGCAGAGCGCAATTCGAGAAAGCCAAGCGAGAACTAGAGTTGTTCTCGCGAGAGAGGATGGAACATTGGAGTAACCTTGGAATTCGATCCAGCTACAGGTGTAGCCAACAGCGGCCTCAGTAGCAAGTTCGACGTCCTGTTTCGGAGGAAGCCACTACAAGATCAGTTGAGGAACTTATGTCTGCCCTATACCAGATGCTTGAAATCAAAGACGTCACTCACGAGATCCCAATAATGACCAAGAAAAATGCGTTCAGATTATGGGTGGCAATCGACACTCTTGAACGTTTAGCTGGGAGGATGACTCCTTCAGTGGGATCAGGGAACGGTTGCCCTGCCAATCGCATCATGCATCCAGCCCTCAAAGCTGCATTTGAAGCTACATACTCGCCAAAACATTCCGACCACAAAGACCTTAACAATGTCAGGTTCGCGAAATTCTTCGACGAGTGCATTGGGGAAGAGACGTTTTGCCTTCGAAATAGAAAGGAAAATTTCAGAAGTAGTCTCGGCAAACAGCTTCAAAGCTCATTTTGAACACTTCAAAAAGACATTACCACCTTACGACGCTCCTTTAATTCAACGGACACGATGCAAGTGACCCATGTAATGATCTGAAAGACGACATCCTGAGAAGCCTACACTTCCAGTCGATTATAAAAGTGGCAGAAATTTTCGACGTTCTAAAATGGATGTTCGATGAACGACAGGACATCTTAGCAACTTCTGTGCGGCAGATTGCGGTGCCTATGGACGATACAAGGCCGCGTGTTGTCCGGTTTCGTGGAAGGCGCCAATAGTTTAAAAAGATTAGCTCGAGTTACACCAGGTCATTGGTGGAAGGGAAGAAATGGGTGAAAGTAAAGTATCTTCCATAGTGGAAAAATTAGGCCATACGGGAGTAGCCGTTCGAAGAGGTCTTCAAAAGTAAGCCATGATCTGCGAGTAGATGATACTGCCGAGAGTCAGACAGAGTGTGTGGAAGCTTGGAGCAATTGAGAAGCATTCT